GTGCACCTGTCAGGACTCTGAAGAGGAGTTCAAGGATGTCCGTGGCCTCAAAAAGAGTTTCGGGCTCCATGCTCAGCCCAAGTTGCACAGAACCAGCGCTTCATGTGAAGTTCATCCTCAAAAGTCTTTGCACTCCAAGGCTCAACGGGTGAGCCCTGTGGTCAGGTTCGTTTCAGTAGCACCTCACTTTAAGGCCTTTGGCTGCAGAGAGCGGCCTCGAACTCGTTTAACTCACTCGTTTAACTCACTCGTTTCACCACTTGCTCGCAGCAGCAAAGATTTAAAACGAAGCAGGGCAAGGTTCGGGCGCTAAGTTTGAGGGCTTTTGCCTGTTCAATGAGGAAAGGAGGAGAGGCCCCCTCTCCAAACACAGAAGCTGCAGGAGGCACATCAATCCTGGGCGCTGACATTGCTTCGTAGCTTGGCTTGGGCGCTGAGTGTCTTTATAGGATCTACTTCATTTTTCCTGTTACCGGTGAGTGTATCTTGACATGCTGCTCTCCAGGCAACACGCTGGCCACGGATCCATCGCTCGCAGTGCGCTTAGGCCTCCCAAGGGAAGGGATAAAATGTAGCAAACACGAGTTCCGGAAGCTTTGGATGAAAATCTTCCTGCCCATCCGCATCCGCATCCAGCGACAGGTGCAGCCCGCGCCTTGGCACGTGAGCTCCGTGCGCGGCCTGGGCGAGGCGAAGCAGCGGAGGCAAAGTCGGCAAAGGGCAGCGGTGGTGCTGTACCTTGTCGAAGTCTCCGAGTCTGTAGGTTTGGCATGCCCTTGTGTGTGCCAGGTTTGCCGGGAGCTGGCAGTGGCGCTGAACAGCCATTGGAACAACAGCTCGACCAGCGCCTCGAAATGCGAAGCGAAAGTTTTCGAAAGCTTTCATGAGTGTCTGTGGAACGAGGGCATGTGCGATCGCCTTCGCGAAGGTGGTATCCTCGAGGATTTGCAACACGTGATCTTCGATGACTCGGAGACAAAGGGGTAGCAGCCTCAGCTTCCACAGTGCAGCCTTCCCCAGCGTTGCCCTTAGCTATTAGAAATCCCTGTGGAGTCTGATAAATCCCTGTGAAGTCTGCGCCGGAAGGTTTCGGAATACGGTTTCGTGTACTTGCTGTTATGAGTTTGAACTTTCGCCTTACCTCAAGACAGAGGCGAATAGCAGAAGCTTGCGGTAATGAGCCGTTGACACCCCACATACTTGTAGCTGGCTTCAAGGCCCTTCCTCCTGGCCGCGCTCAGCGGCGCCTGGCGTGTGGGCGCCACGGCCATGCCGGCCGAGCTGCAAAAGAGCTGAGTAAAGAGCTACAACAGAATGCATATACACAGCAATAATATAATATCATATTATATCATATTATATATATACATATTAAATCAGGTTCTACTAGTAATATCTAGGGATCAGGGTGTAGATGAGGCTTGGATGTGAGACAATGGCCAAAGCAAGGTACTTTCAGCGCTTGTTTCAGTTGCTGGACACTCTGGTGCTTGTGCTGGCTCATGCTTACACGATAGTGCGTCAGCACAACCTAGGATTGACATGTTTCAGGAATGTGAGCTTGCACCAGTTGCACAATGCAGCTCAGGCTCCCGGCAATCTGCAACTCTTTGCGCAAATCCTGCGGAAAGGCACACCTAATCTGATATCATCTCACATGAACTCGCGTTGCGCGCATGAAGTGGGCTGGGCCTTCGGACCTTCCCTGTCCCAGGCTACCCAGGAGGTCAGGATCAAGGCATGCGTTGCCCACCTTTGCTGAGGGGGGGGGGGGGCATCTCTGACATGTCGAGTTTTATGTCGCTTCGTGCAGGCTTTGTCAAGTTCCCTGGTCGCAGCCTTCGCTGCTGACCCTGCACCTCCCAAGGCCACTCAGGTTAACTAGTTCACCGTTTCACTTGCAGGTGTTACGGCCAGGTGTGTTTGCTCCCCGAAGCAGAAACTTCAAGGCCGCCGCGTTGTCGTCCCTCAGCGCTGCTTGCAGCTGGGCGTTGGTGGGGCCCCTGGCGAGCGTAAGCAGCACAGCAGCCCTGCGGCACTTTTTTCACTTCCAAGCGCCTGCAGCATTGGCTTTCAACAAAGCCTCTGATGGAGGTGAGCCACATTGGGACACTCTCCCTGAGACTCGGCCAGAACCATCATGGCGCAGATCCGCGTGGATAGACGAAGTGCCACAGTGCTTCGTAAAAGCCTTGAATTAGTTGTAGTCACTACTTTGCACACAGTAGGCACATACTAATGAACCAAGACGAAGCACTGAGGTATCTGGCCATGGATCGCAGGCCCACAGCTGCCGAGGAGGGGCCAGGGATCCCACAAGCACAAGCCGACAAAATCTAGACCATTTCCCAGAGTCCGCACCTTGCTATTTGCTTGTCGCACTGATGGCACTAAACCTATCCGAGGAGGTTCGCGCCTCTGCAGTTTGCAGTGCTCTTGGCGACGCATTGAGCTCTGTCGCAAGCCGCCTCTTGGCGGCAGTGGGGCTGCGGCCATCATCGATCTCCACTCAAGATGTAGGCTTCGCACATCTTGGTACCGGGGTGTTGAGTTGATGGTCTACCCCTGACAGCTGTGAGGTGAAGTCGCGGCTGGCACCCCACTCAGCATGCCAGTCTGGACGTCCATGGTGCTCTGGCAGAGCTGCATATGACAGGCGACTTTTACTTGTCTCGGCTTCTGTCACCCTGGGCTTGGGCGCGGGGCCTGGAGCGAACACCGAGCTGTGGTGTCCAAGCGCAGCTTGAGTCCTTTTGGACAGCGAGGGTCACCAAAAGAAGTTCCTTGTTTGCCAAGGCTCGCTTGGATCAGCTGCTTGGATCGACGTGGCCGCAGGGGGTTACAGTAGGAGGTCGAGAGGATGCAAGAGGCTTCTTTCGTACTTTGAGCGGCATTGGGGTGCAGACTTGAAAAAAACTTTCTAGATTTCGGGACTCAGACACTTCCCCTGTGAGGCTGCGAGGCCCCTAGCTCCCGGTCCCCTGACCCACGCGCACCGGCCGAACCTAGGATAGCAGCCGCGGCGAGCAGCCGGCTGGCCAGACCTGCCATGCGCTGCCTCTGCCTGGCTGCAAATGCTGCGGCTGGGTTTCGTTTACTTTGCAGGGCCAAGTCAAGACCAAGACAAAACCGTTGGCTACTGCTCCATCTGCTACATCCCTGTCTCAGGAAGGCAGCTTGCGGCCTATCCGACATCACCTGCGTCCCGCCATGCAGCTGCTGCGGATGCAGGCGCCGCAGACGTGTTGGAGAGTTCCTTGAGGCAGCGACCTAAGCCGAGGCCCAGCAGCCAGAGCCCGTCAGCGGTCTGCTCCGGGCAGCGTGGCATCTCGCCTGAGCTTGAGACCCGCGGTGTGAGCATCGGACTGCCGAACCTCACGCTACTCACCTTGCTTCTCCAAGTAGATTCGCCGCATATCCTTTGTGGAAGCTAGCAATCTTGGTCTAACGAAGCTCTTTGGCACGCTTGTTAAGCCAACGCCCTGAATCTAAAACATCACGCCAGACACGCCAACGCCGTTTGCCAAGGCTAGCAGCAACTGCCTGCGAGTTCTGCAGCTCGGCAACCAGAGCACTTGTAAATAAGTACTTGTAAGGTTGCTTTTGGGCGTGCTTGGTGCCGAATCGCACTCTTACTCGCCATTGTCGTGCTAGGCCACTACGTACTAGGATTACTAGGACGTGCAGAAGTGAAACATACTGAGATGACATAAAAGCCCCGTTGTACAAAGATTGGGAGGGTGTTGCAATGGGAGTCAGGGATACTCATAGTCAGAGCTTCGAGATGGGCTCTGATGTTCAACCTCACAACATCTTCCACCGACTCAAGGGAAGATGGCTGTAGAGTCGCAGGTGATCTCGACGAAATGACGGCCGACCTTGGGCTCTGTGCCCCGCAGCTCGGATTCCATCACCTCGATAGGGCCCTTGTCAGAATACATGTCGGGAAATAGAATGCCGGCTTGAGTCAGTCACCGAAGTCAGTAAACGCAGAGAGAACAAGAAGGACAGAGGGCCGAGTCAGGCAACAGAGGGGCCTGAGTCGATAAACTGGTTCTGCCCAACTCGACCCTTTCCTGCTTCCGACCAAGTCTCCCGGGTTCTCCAACTCGGCGCTTTAGGGCTTCGAACTCCGCTTTTCAGCTTGTTCTCCGAACATCTCCCGTCATCTCCCGTCTATCCTGCCAGGCGCAGTGGTGCGGGAACTATGGTGGCCCAAGATCTTCTCCAGATCTTTCAGGCGCAAGCATGGCAAGGGATGCTAAAGGTGTCAGGGTCCCTGACAACTGCAAGTTAGTACGATGGCAGGGCCCCATGCAGCCTCAGGCATCGAAAAGTTGAAGTTAAGAAGAAGCTGGATAACGAAGTCAAGCAAGGATTCGTAGGCTGAAATCTTCGGGGGGACCGACTCACCTTGACTCTGACCAATGGGTGAAGATCTGTGTCCCTGAAGTCCTTCTCCACATCGGGCAACAGTGGGCCACTTCCGGCCTTGAGTCCCGGCAGCCTTGGGTGGGAAGGTTTTTTGTAAGATCACACAAAAAAGGGCTCAGAACGGCCCAGTTCCCGAAGTTAATGTATGTAAATCTGCGGGCATAAGGGTTTAGAGCTTAGGGATGTTTACAGGGGTTTAGGGTCTCCAAAATGGTACTCTGATCTAGGGAACCTACCAATGAAAGGATCCTGGCTGTGGGCTTCGCGCTGCGGCGGCATGTGCAGCTTGTGGCATCACCTACATTCGCAGCAGTCTTGGCAGCTGGCTTGGCAGGACTGGCCAAGTCACTATAGACTGTATTGTATGCCTCATGATTCGCGAAGTTCTAAGACTACACCATATATGATGCCTTCACGCGGTGCTATACTGCCACCACAGACCAACAAGGCGCAATCAAGCCCAGATCCTGTGCTAGCAGCGCACAAGGAGATCGAAGAGCAAGTGGTGCCGAGATGCTTGCCACGCGCTCGCTGGAGGCGCAGTCGAATCTTGAGATGTGTAACCCATGAGTAGGCCCTGGCTAGTTCCTGGCTCGTCCCTGGAGGTTTTGGCAAGCCTCTGTGAACATCTCAGTGCAGAAGCAGGTCGTGCCACGGCTTGATCCTATGCGAGATCATGCGAGCATGCAATGTGCCGTCCTCCCGCCCTGCCCTGACCTAATTTAGATGAGGTCGGTAGGAGTGTTCGAACTAAGGCAAGGGTGCCAAGGAGGTGCATGCCAAGCATGGCAAGCATTGTTGTGCTGGCTCGGTGATGGCCCGCCTCTCCTCCCACGTGCCAGCCGTTCTGCGCTTTGTCCGCCACGGGCTTCATAGGCGGCCAGAACCAGGTGATGTGTCTGTGCGAAGCAGTGCTTTGGATGCCGCCCGTGCCCTGCAACGTGCGGGCATCGGCGGCCACCCGACCGCCATGGCGACTGCGACCTTCGCTGCACTCTTCACCGACCACGCGATGCGCCGCACTGCCGGGCTCCTGCTGCAGGCGCTGGCGCGCTCCGAGCCCCAGGTGGGGCCCCAGGTGGCCTCAGCAGGTCTGAGCATGCTTTTGCTTTTGAGTCGGATCGCGGGGTCTCCGCAGGCAGTTGCCGTGGCACTTCCACGTGGCATCTTGCCCGCAAGCTTCAAGCGTCTTCAACATTCTTCAAGCCCCCATGCCGTGTGAATGTGCATTATCTGGCAGTCTCTTCGTGTCGGAACTGTGCCCAGGTCTTCGTGAAGGCTTTGCGGCCCTGCTGTGGCTAGCACCACAAAAGTTAGTCAGAGGCTTAGCCGCTTAGCTTCTAGCATCTGGCAGAGTCAACATGTTGCAATGATTCGAACTAATCATTCTAAGCCTTACAAGCCCGATCGCCGGTCTTCCAAGTTGCTTGGCGCGACACCCACCGACGTCTCCTCCAATGCATTCGCTGCTTCCGGCTCCCGGGCTCAAGACATGTTGGTTCCGAGACCTGCAGCTAAGGTTGAGGGTTGGCAAGGGTTGGCAAGGATAACTTCCGAGGTCGAGTGGCGCGTGGGAAGTGGATCCACGCCATGCTCGCGGAGATGCAGAGCACCTTGGGCAAATGTCATCCGACGGTTTGGCACAGAGACCCGTGAGAGGGGCGAAAGCAGAATTACGAACCAAAACTATCACAAGTGCCGCCGGTCCATAATGACGATCCGTAGGCGCACAGGCACCTGAAAGCGCACCAGTGGTTCCGAAGCCTGTGACCTACTCTCGGGCAGCTTTTCAATACTGAGGTCAGGACTTTCTCGAAGGCGGGCTGCCTGAAAGGGTTCGCCGGTTCATCCATCTTTGATCATCTTTGGTCTGGTCCGGATGCCCAAGCAAAGACTAAGACGACAAGGCGACTTCCCGCCGCTGCCCATGGATCTCTCCAACCGTGGCCCATCTCGCCTGGCGCCCTTCGGCGGCCGGAGGAAGGCCGAGGCACTGGGGGCAATTGGGCCGGGCATGGCCTTCCAGCGATATGGGCAAGGAAGCACTGAAGCACTGAAAGCAGGGTGCGCTTGGAATCTCCTGCGACTCGCAGGACATCACGGAGAATTGGCCTCGCCAAGCTCGTCTTCGCTTCCTCTATGGCCAGTTTCTGGCGCTTCAGCTGTTGCTCAGCTACTCTTGCTAGGGAATCGTGGGTCATCCCAGTTCCGTTGAAGTCAGCTGGAGCCCGTGTTTTCGGAGTAAGAGTGTGGATAAGCTGATATCAGCCGGACAAGCATGGGTGGTTGCACCATTCTGGAAATTGAATCTGCATGCTTCAGCATGGAGTCTGAAGCTGAGGCTTTCACTGCCTCTCTCAACGGCTTGGCTGGCCTGCTTGTGGTTCCAGGGTCTCCAGCAGCGTGCTTGATCCAAGCTTCAGAGACAGATGGCCGAACCTCATAGCGAGACCAGGCCGCGACGTCATCCAAGAACGACAAGAGCGAGATCGGCATCATCTTCGAGGCAACCGCTGTGCAGCTGGACACCAGGTTAGCGAGTCAGGCAGGAGCGAAGCGAAAAAAGTTGCTGGCGGTTCAGCCACACCAGGAGTGCACCCGCTTTCTCGGCCTCCGGAGCGCTGCCCACGCCACAGCCGTGGAGAGTGAGGCGCGAAAGGGTGAGCAAGATGGCAAGGGAATGGCATTAGTGTGCCTTGGCGGGACTTGTGTTCGCATGCTCTGCCCCTCAGTTTGTGTTGGACAGGGAATGGGCAACCACACTGTCCTGAGCTGCATTTCGGCGGTTCTATGCAAGGCCAGCTCGAGTTACATGGTCCGTCGGTTTTTGTTTTTCGGTCTTCCAGAAGGTCAGGTATGCTCAGGTCAAGCATTGAGTCATCACGTTGTGTTGCTTTGCTGAACAGACTTAGAGCATGTGCTGAATGACCAATCCCTGGTTCACCTTGAGCCTGTAAGGCCGTCCTCGCCGTTCTTTCCGAGGAGACGTCCGAGCGGGGACAGAAGTTTCAGGCAAGGAGAGTGAAAATAATGGAGGAGGGGCAGGAGAGGGAGTGTTCTATACATCTTGAGTACTCCCTCAGTATCATTATTGCCCTTCGAGGCCGCTCTCCGTGCCGCGGCGCCGGTGCTGGCGGCTGCAGCCACTGGAGACTCCAAGGTGTGGGGGTTTCCCGAATTTGGGTGGTCCTGGAGAATTGAAGGGGGCATTATATTCCCGAATGAGAAAACGGGGAACCCCTATTTTGGCAAATTCCCATATTCACACTCAATGGGCGCTTTGGCTCCACTCCTGGGCCGGGACCATATGGGACCAATTCAGGGGACAATGCCCACCTGAGAAGATCCCGCATTCGGAATCCTGCAAAGAATGCCGCGCGCGATCCCTTGCCCAGGAGCCCTGGCAGATGAACACAGATAGCAATGCATGGCTGGGCCCATCCATAGCCTCATGTCAGGCAGCCCTGCAGTGCCTGGCCGAAGCTGCAGAAGGCCTAACTGCATAGATGTGCATGTGTTGGAAAAAGCGGCACCTAGAAGAGTCGATACGGCCTTATATTATTTTGGTTCAAAATGTAGTACACTCTCTAGCAAGCACACATACATGTTTCCTGAGAGCTGCAGGGCAGCAGAGTTGGCGTAACTGACAGACATACTTTCAACGCTCCGAAGCAGGTGCCGACTCACCCTCGCCACGCCCAAAGCGAGTCCGAGGAGAAAAGCAATGCGCGGCTTCTCGCCACGACTTGTGCACCGGTGTGACTGTCGGGACGTTCCAGGAAAGACTTCGTTGGGCGACCTTTCTGCGCGAAAGAAGAGGCGCGATAGAGAAAGGTGCAAGAAGGGCAGAGCATGGGTTCACCCGGCAAATGCCCTTGCTTCACAGGCGCATGACAGCCACGACAGCCAGCAAGAAAGGTGGGGGCGCCCGGATTCTGTTGGTCCTTGAAATCTCCTTGGCGCCCATGTCAGGCGAGGCGAGCCCTTAATTCGAACTTGAGGCCCTCCGGCCTCTCCACCCCCTCCAGGAAAGTGCAGGTTACAATTTGGCTGGGCGGGCTCAAAAGCTCTCATGAGCAGGTCTATGGCCATTGATATACGAGCTTCGGCAAATGCAAATAAACCTGGAGGGCAGTGGTGCTGAAAAATTCGTTGAAAGCCAGAAATGGGCGATGTGGAGACGCAAGCAGGTAGGAGGAGTCGACTTTTTATCTCCTTCGAGAAGTTCTGTAACTTCAGAGGCAGCTCAGAGTTACGAGCATCCGTGGCCTGCGGCTCTCAATCTCTAGCCAGGGAGCTTCTGGCGCATTGTTGCCTGACATCCAATCTGCGACAGAAGCTATAGCTTGCCAAGACATGAACCTGGGGGGGGGGGGGGGGGGGGTTGTCGGCGGGAATGTAGACCAAAACTATGGGTTAGATACCTGAATAAGACGGCACTGGCAATGGGGAACATGTTCTTGCAGCTTGTGGGCATAAACTCATCTCTGCGTTCAAGCAAGCTCAATATGCCTGATGCCAATACAGTTATTGGATGTACCATGCAAATGGGAATGACGCTTCAGAAACGTTGGACATGTGGCGATTGCAGAAGAGAGCCTCTGCACGCTTGGATGTCAGTGGGTCTCGGCTGCTGCATGCTTTGGGCTATGTGCATGCCTGAGCAGCTTGGGGAAGGCTTGCAAGGCTTCAGGGGCAGCGCGATATTGCATATTGCGATTCGATGTTCATGAACTCTTAAAACTGTTGTGCCGAAAAGCACAATAGAGAGGATTTCCTTTCGACAGAATGCAAATCTCTGAAGCCTTGCTAAGTGGATTGGGAGACTCGGTCTACGAGCAAACTGTGCAGGATCGCTGCAAGCATGGAGCAACCATCCCAAGGATGTGCAACCTCACAGCGTTACGCATGCGCCTACAGTCCTCCAAATTTTGCGATCGGATCTGATCTACTGATTTGCAGCGGTCCGGGACATGGCCGCGACTGAGTCAGTACGTTTCTCAAGGAATGCGGGGGTTCGCATTGGTACAGGGGCACGTAGGCAGTCCAGTCAGAGCGCACTGGGAAAAAAGGCATGCACTTGCTAAGCCTTGCAGACGCGAGTCCAAAGTGTCGTGTTGCTGCATGACTTTGCATCACCTGCAGAATACTGCAGAAGACGCTTTGAATCACCGCTTGCTCGGCTCGATGCACTTGGGGCGGCAGGCTACGCTTTGCGTACCGTACCTCAGCTTCCGGCTCGCACGAAACCCCACCGTGCGACTTGAAGCCGACTCATGGCAGCTTGGTGGCAAAGAGGGGCACTGGCTGGCCGTTTGCCTATTTTGTGTTTTGCGCAGAGTTGGATGTGGCGCTGCGCATTCGACACTTCTACAACTTCTTCTACGTCTTTCTAGTACCGACTCGGGTCTCGATGTCTGTGCTAAGACTCTTTTCGCCTCCATGTTCAAGCTTTTTGCCGGCCTGGCGGTGGCCAATGGCCTTGTCCGAGAAGGAACAGTCCCGGTTGGGGGACTCAGAGATGCAGTCGGCTTAGCGGTTCTTTAGGCTTCAAAGCACGAATCTCTGTCGAGTGTCATGTGCAACCCACCCCAAATAATTAGACAAAAACACATAAAGCTTGATCAGAGATTGTATCAGCATACTTTGCAAAAAGAGCCCAAGGAGGGCGAAGCATCCATGCATTCAATGTGTTTTTGTTACCTTTATGTGCGCCTTGCGCCTTTGCCTGCGTAGAACGATCTAGGTGAACCCGGTGGCTACGATCCCGCTGGACAAGCAGTCCCTTTGTCTGCAGTACACACCGTTCCTTTCATGAGGACATTCTGAAAGCTCCATCCTTGCTGCAGGTGGCAATGTTCAAAGACCGTAAGACATGTAGACACTGGTAGCTTGTCGATTTGAGTAGTTGTTGAATTCTTGTTTATTGGCTTGGCATGTGGAGTCGGAGTTTGCGATGAAATCGAGAAGATGCAGCAGCTTCCTCAAGACATCACGTGACTGCCTGATTTGTGTTTGGTCTTCAAGACTACTGCGCATATCCCTGCACAATGGATGTTCTGGAGAACAGGTTTTGTCGAAACCAAATGGCTAGCTCTACAGTAACGACAGCAGCACGAGGTATGTGCCAGTCATCCGGAACAACAAAATTGTTTCGTACAAGACTGCGTACTTCGGAAAGATCCACGTGGGAATGCCGAGGCCGCCTGCTTTGCCTGCAAGTGCTTTGTGGGCATTGTCGGGCGCTACTAACCGGTAGTTATAGCGCAGATGTCTTGGCTGGAGGTTCTCGCAGCGATGAGTAGAAGAGCATAAGCAACTCATTTTCTGACCTGTCGCTGAATTGTAGGGCTTTGTTGATGATAAGACAGCGGTGGTCTCAGTAGTCCCATATTGCCGCGCGAAGGCAACAGACGTTCACCGTCGTTTTTGATACGGGCGACGTGGATGGCAACCAGAGGAGGGGTGGCTTTGGTTATGTTCGGCTCCGAGCAAGGCCCAAGACCCAAGAGACACGCGTATCCAGTAGTAAATGTAGTAACAAAAGCAATCCCAAACAGACAGTCTGCCCAGTCTGACTGATTACCCCTCAGGAACGGCTTGAACCCATAAAGGTGCAAATGCGAAAGGAGGCACATCCTGCGACCACGTGGTTTTGATGATCTTGAACAGCCTGGAGGGTTTAGGGTTTAGTTCAGGGGAGCCGCTTGGAGATCAGTCCGTTTCGAACAAAGACACATCGAGGTGCGCAGAGCTTCGAGTCTTATAACCATTTAAAAATTGAAACCCGCCTCCGCCTCGACAATCATTGGCCAAAGGTAGTGCCCATCTCTTCGTGCCGTCTGCGACCTGTAACACGGAAACTTGCGCCTCAGCTTGAAAAGCGCAGTTGAGGTTGGAGTTTGGGTTTTACAAGGGCTTATGCCAAAATGACAGACCACTCAGCTTGGCGAATACTACTTTAACTAGGGAGGCCTCCTTTGCAGGCATGCCAATTTCGAGCCCAGGCGGCCTGAAAAGTAGAGCCATTCTGTTACGCACCCATTGGCAGCCAGCAAGGTACTCGACACCGTCGCTTCTTCCGCACCCGCCTCAGCTTCATACCAGTTCATGCCACTCATGGAAGCGAATTTTAAGGCTGACGTATTCCGTCTTGAAAGATTGGCGGACGAGGAAGTTGTCGAATCCTTGCAAGCTCCAGGAAACGAGTCGGGCACGGCAGTTGACATCGACCACGATGGCAACCCAGCTTCTTGGTTTTGTATGGGCTTTTGTGCCGGAAAATGTACGGTTGTGCTTGCCTGTTTTTGTTTTCCTCTTACCTGGCACTCACAGGTGAAGAAGAACTCGACTCGACGCGATCAGGTGCCCAGGGCAGTGCGAAAGCGTTTGTTTCCATTCGACTAGTGAAGAGCGCTGGCTCCCACGCTGTACATCAGGGCCACGTCTGCAGGTTAGGATACACCAAAGCGCTTGCTCTTCGTTGGGCAACTAACTGTTCAGGTGAACATCGCTTTCGGAACCGGAGAGGCCTTGTGAAAAGCCCATCCTGCTTTGAACTTTCTATGCAAATTCCTCGGCGTGATGCGTGGGTTTCCTTCGGCAAAGGGCAACATGTTGTGAAACAGTAGAAGCTGTTCGGCAAATCGGACAGGTGGCTCTTGCTCAGTTGCCAGCCTGTCGAACCTTTTGTGGAGCTTGGTAGGGAATATGACTGCTATGCCATTGACCCTTTGATGAATCTGGAAACATCTCCACTGTCCAAGAGACGGTGTGCTCGCCACAGGTCACTGGAGAGTTTGTGCGGGAGACCGTTTGCCTCTCCCCTCACGAGCCATCCACAGAGGTCGGCCGAAGCAGCTGCAAGATGTCACACGATGTCACAAGCACCCTTCTCGAAGCCATTTCCCTCACAAGTGTGCATAAAACAATCATAAAGCCGACTCGTGAGCCTCCCATCCCTCCATTGGCTTAGAACCCAAGACATGGTGAAGGTCGCGCCTTTGGGATCAGCTGGAAAGGCCCGTCGAAGGGGGTCGGGAGTCCTGGGAGGGTCTCGGGGGAGTCCCGAAATGCCGCCCCCAGGACTGCACAGAGCTTCGCGTCATCTTGGCAAGCGAGATGACAAAGGCCCTGAAGGGCCAAATGCTCGCTTGTGCTGCCCAAGCTGTGCTTGGAACACTGCCAAGTTCTAGCTTGCTCCTTATCAATACTCGTTCGATACTCCACACCTATCACCTACCTCATAATAGCGACGAGTGCACAGAGCTTCAATGAATGCACCTTGTTTTGCATCCGTCTAGGTCGAGCTTCGCTTGTGCAAGAAAGCCGCTTCGCCAATTGCAGGAGCCATTCATGACTTTTGAGTTTGACGGTGTTCTCGGCCTCGGCCTTGCCAGCCTGGCAGTGGACCCGGAGTTCAGCTGCTCGGCACCAAAGCCTTCAACCTTGGACAGGTTCGTGAATTTTGTGGCGGTTCGTGTATGAAGCATGCAACCTACCGCGAAAGCCTTCGAAAAGAGTCGCAGAGCGAAATGTGCGCGAGCAATCAGACCCGCAGTGCCTTGCCGCCACCAAGAACTCAGGTTTCTTTGGTCAGATGGCTAAGATGCGGCTTGGCATCCATACCCTGACTATAGTGACTATAGAGTCATGTCGATGCATACAACTGAGGCCTAGAACGTAAAGGCTTTGGGCGTGCCCAGTGATTGGCTGGAAACCCAACGGGCATCCAACACCCTGCCTTTCCACCACACTAGACTCCCACTCCTAGACTTAGTACACCACAGAAGCCTCGGCCGTGTGAGATGCAAGGAATGGGCTGAAAGAGCAAACCTTCGGCTACTTTCTCTCCCGTTCTGACAGCGTGCTGTGCTCGGAGTTCTGCCGAATGCAGGAAATTGTAGTTTATTGTAGTCTGCCGTCGTTGTTCAGCAGCCATGACCGCGACAGCAAGCAGAGCTCGGCTTCCTCCTTCCTAGTGCTGGCGCAAAGTCAGCTATCGGCACAATACTCACAGTCGAGGTTGGGGATATACTCGTAGCAGCAGGTGAATCGGTCACTGGGTTCTCTGGGCAAGCATTTTGCGGTCGTTCTCGCAGTGTCAGTGCAGCTTCATCTCAAGACTTGTGACCCGAGGTTCCGAGCGAGATTTCGTTCGGAGGCAGGAGAACCTTGTGGCAGTGGAAAGCTAGAGTTCCATGTGCGCATCGACATACACGTGCACTCGAACGGCTCACTCGGCTGCCGCGAAAGTTCTGAATCGTGGCTTTACAGCCAACTGAACAGAATCATCTGAACTAGCTCCACTGGAAATGCGATCTACCAACAGGCCACGACGCTCGACGCTTGGCATCGCCACTTCAGTGGGTGCCCGTGCACAAGCCAGATCCCAGACTGCAGATACTGCTCGCAGGACGCAGGTACCGCAGTACATGGCATGTAAGGATCAGCCTCAAAACTAAGGAGCTGGGATACTGGCAGCTGAGGCGTGCATTCTGATGTCATGGTGGTGAAAGATTCGCTGGCATATGAACAGGTTGATCACATTATAGCCGCCTCTAGCACCGGCAAGACAAGCGAAACACGGAACGTAGTCCTATTGTCTTTACTTGACACATTGCATTTGCCTCTTCTCACGACCGAAATTCTGTCCGCTCTGATTCCCTTCAGTCGCATGTCAGGCTGCTCGGTGTTATCGTTGCTGGAGAGCGGCTGCCGCTCTGTGAAGAAGGCGACTGTGACACTTGGCAGCAAAGCCAGTGCAGTAGAAAGCAGGTCGGAGCAAAGCATGCACAGGCGATGGTAGATTTCGCCAAGGCCACCGCGGTCCTGGCATAAAAAGTTGTCGAATTCTGGGCGAGGTGCTTGCTAAACAAGACCACTCCCCCCCCCCCCGACCAACCCATTGAAGGCTGGATCTGGCTGTGGAATTGCAACCCTAAGGTTGCCATTGCTGACACCGGCACCTCCTTGCTCGGTGCTCCTCGAGCTGTCACACAGAGGATGCAGCCTGGCCGGAAGTGCTGTGACATGTTATGAGATGTTAACGGTGTTCGAAAGGCATAGGGCACCCATATGGTTCATCCACGCCGGGACAAGGACTCAGCAAGCATAGAGTCGTTGAACACTGAGGCATTGGCTCCTGGCACGAAAGGTGCAAAACAGTGTTCGCTGCATAGTGGAAGGCGGCAGCTCAGAAGGTGACAAATCCCTCGAACACTGCCCGGCAGGTGCCAGAGAATCCAGCAGAGATCGATTGTCGGACCTTCCCTGGCCCGGACGGCATGGGGTTGCAAGAGAGCAGCTTGCAGAGCGGAACTAAAAGCCTCCAGCAACGCAGCATACTCATAGCGAAGTGCATGAAACCCAAGGGCCTGAGGGATACCTGTGTACGGATGCTGAGGATCCCTCGTCCTGACACCAAGGCTGTGCCAAAGCCAGGGGTTCCCTTCTCTCAGGAGCTCATTTTCCAGCTGGAAGATGGCGTGAACGTCACCATCGGTGCGGAGGATGGGTCACGTAGGATACGCAGGCACTCATAGGCAGCCGCTAGATTGGAGGGTTAAGGCGGTGGGACTCTCTTGGAGATGCACGTCGCTGTCCCCGAAGCCATGCCCGCCCCTGCAGGACTATTCTCGCGCCACTGGCATGCGTGTGCTGAACAACAAGACAAATTCCTCCCAGGCCCCAGGATCAGCAGAGTTGCTTAGTGATGGCGATGCTTTGGAACCCATGCGAGTCAAGTGTCTTCGGTTGACTGCTGTAGCACTGTAGACAGTGTAGCAGCCACCCAAGCACTCACCAATGCACGACGGTAGACTTGTTGAAAATCCTCCGAGCCCAAGAGAGACAACTCTGAATGTTTGAGAGCACCAGCGCCTTAAACAGCATCCATCGCCTTGTGCGGATATTCGCTCACGTTATGTTGAACAGACAGTCTTTTGGCAAGAGCTTGGCCAGCAAGGGACGGCGTAGCACCTGTAACTTGTGAGCCGCTCAATTGGCGCAGCCGACCCTAAATTCTTACGTATGTTTACAGCCCATCCCTGTTGCTTGGCCGTCAGCTCATTTGCCGCGCTTCTCTGCTTCCCGTGGACGATGGAGAGGTGCTTGGGCCCAAGGCACGCGGGCCGGTAGGGGTGGCGCAACTCGTGTACACGAGCCCTCAGGAACCTCATGTGAAGCGTTTGTGCTTTTCCAAGCATCTGCCGCCAGGCATTCATCCTTGGCGAACCCGCTCTGCGCAAGTATTACACCGCTTACGATTGGCCGCTGGCTTTTGAATGCTAGCAGTTTCGGCAAGCACAACAGCTCCAAAGTGCGAAATCCTGCTCAATTTTCTTTGCGAGATCTGTTGTGGAAACCTGTCTCATGCCAACATTAGCCCAGGAAGCGGCAGCGGATTGGCTTTGGGCTTTCGGTGCCTGGGTCTCCTTTTAAGTTGAGATGAGTGCATGTGACTTGTGTGGCGAGTGATGAGCAAGATTACCCACAATACTTCTTCTTCGACTCTCACAAGCTGCAGCCCAGCACGACTCTGCCCCGATGTGCAGGTTCAGCCAAAGCCCGAGGAAGTCCCGGCTGAACCACGTCATTCCATCTATGGCGTTCGGTCCCCAGCTTGAGGGCTGCCAGAAGTAGCAGCACGCTTGTGGCACAAGCACTTGCTAGCTGAGCCCGGGAGCAGTAGGTGACGATCTAAAGTATTCGTGATGTGGGGTGGAGCACAGGCACCACCTTCCGGACCACCGACGCCAACCGAAGTCGTTGTGTGAAGCACTGGTCCTTGGAAGAGTGCCTGGCAAGATTTGCTGCAAAATTTGCTGATGAGCAGGTGATTGATGGAGCACCTCTTGTCTGGTTGGCAACGTTAGATCCGTTGGTCATATGTCTTTGAAAATGCTAGATGAGGGGATGCTACCTGCCGATATGCTAGAAGGTCCGGGAGAGTACGCTACGAAT